TAAAAATAAGGTACATACATGCATGCAAACAATTAATTGAAAAAATGAGTAAGCAGAAAAAAAAAAATCAAAGTCATTTTTATGGTAAATGGACTTTACCATTAAATTCTACACCCCTTCAAAGTGTAGGAAAAAATTTTAAAAAATCAAAAAAACTCGAAATTAATGGCAAAAAAAAATTAATTAAAAATGCAGGTTTAAAAGCGGAATGCGCGTGTGCTGTGCCGCAGCAAAAGCGCGTCAAAACGCGGAAAATGCGGGTTTTTTTATTAAGGCCCTTTATTTGTATTGTCTCAGAATTTGCATACCCAAAAATACAAATCCTTGTTTGTCTCAATTTCCTGAAATAATACACATGCATTGTTTTTGGAAAGTGTTCCTCCAGCCATTGAGACTTGTACGAGTCCCTATGGCTAAACCTCATGGCAATGGTGACTTTGTGGTTTGTTGATAAATGCACTCCTCCCCCCCTACCCACCTACCCACGCCCCCGCCCCTTGGAAGCCTAATTTTGTGAGGAATCATGTTTCCGAGGGGCGTACAATCAAACCCGCCCCTCAGAGACAGGTGGGTGGGATTGCACACCATAAACTGGGAGGGGCAGTTGACATGCAGGTTACTCTCAATGTAACTTCTGTCATGCTTCCAATGTAAGGATTTCTGCACAGTCACTGTGCAAGGTGCACAGTGATTGTGCATTCAAGTAAGGCTGAGGTAATAGTTGAGTAACATCTGAGCAACAACCCAAGGTTGAAGAGAGTTTGTGCATGTCAATTGGCAGCAGTTTCTTGAGATTCTTTCACAGTGGCAACATGTGATTTTAGCTAACTTAAACAGAGTAAAGCTGGGGTGACATAGCATCTTTCTTAAAAAGGGTCAATAAGATCAAAGCATGTGGGTTGCACAGAAGTTCACAAAACCAATTAGATTTACAACATTTGATCCTAGTGAAGTCTATGTCTAGTGAGGTTACTAAAGTCATAGAGATATAATCTCTTCATTTGTGAGTGCCCAGAAGTATCAATCAGACTAAAATCAAATTTTCAAAAGTGTTTCATTCTTTTTTGTGCATATCACTTCTCTCACAAGCCAGACTTTTTGTTTTGTCAATTGATTATACTGGTCTGCTTGAGTTCCAAGAATAAACATCAATCCAGATCACAAAGTGATTGGAGAGTTATCTTCCAAGTCTGAGCTGGTCAATCCCTCTTGATCAAACAAGATTCACCTTCTCATCAACCCAATACTCTTGTACCAATCACTAAATCAAGTCTTTCCGCTGCAGTTTGTAAAAACTTTATCCTGGTCTTACTTAATACTTTCTTTTTTTGCCAGGTCTGAGCTCAGTTAACATTTTTGCATTTTGGGAATATCCACAGTAATCAGATTGGGAGGGAGTTTGTAAATTTTATATTTATTTACAATATTTATAAACAATCAGATCACCAGGCTCAAGACCTTACCATCCACTCAAGAGCCCCTGGCTCGAAGCTGGAAGAGTAATAATAGGGTCAATCTCTACCATCATAAAGATTTGGTTTTTGGAAGCTTAGCAACATACACACTCGCTCCCAAGCTGACTCTGCAACACTGATGAATATCACTCGCAGAAGTGGTGAAGCTTGGATCACTTTATGTGCCATCCGCCTAAAAGTCCAGAAACTGGAATTAGTTTACGGCCGACTTTTGATTGGAATTTCAGGGAGTTTGAAATGAACCATTCAATCATAACACATACTACGTTGTGTGTAGATCCAGAAGAAGTTATATATCATTACCTTACAGAGGCTTACACTGCTCCTTTGCGAGCACGGTTTGTAAGATGTCTCCTGTCTGAGGAAAGCACGCGGAATCTAGCAATTCACTTGAGCCTACGATGTGTCTGAATACTGGAAAAGGTTTTGAGAATCTGATTTGGTTACTAACAAACCTGATTAACGATTTCAGCTCAGGAACCAGAGAACGACCATGTTGACCTCTGGTTAGAGCTTGGTCGGCTAATTCTTACTACGGAGAGTGTCGGCATGATCATCTCGATTCCTACCAGTGAGATGATGATGGAGATCCTCAAGAAGCTTACTTGCCTACACACACTTAACATCCAGATAACAATGACTAATCTTCACGAACTTGACCTCTTTAATCAAAATAAAACGAAGAAGGGCACAATTCATGCCAAAAAGGTAGTAGAAAGGGGGGGGGGGGGGAGAGATGTTGCTTAGTATCTTGGTTTTTTATGGTGATCGTCATAACCTCCTCCTCCATGACCGTCAGAGTTTCGATAGTCGTCAAATTCTCGTTTGGATCCGTTTTGACTCGACGAATTGTTTTGCCGACTGGCCCAACCTTGACCGGGACCTGCTCCAGCGTTCGCACCCGTGCCCGAGAAGCCGCCGCCGCTTGAGTAGCCAATTCCAGCGCCTCGAGAGCCGAATCCTCCAGAACTACCTCCAGGTCGATCACCGAATCCTCGATCCCGACCGCCCCGACTGCTGCCACCACCGCTTCCAAAACGATCATTCCCTCCTGGCCTACCTCCCCCACCGCCAAACCCGCGATCACCCATTCTTCCTCCACCAGGACCAGAGGATGATCCGTTCCGAAAGCCACCTCCCCCACCTCCGCCCCCACCTCCAGGTCTGAAACCTCCTCCACCCCCAGGTCGAGATCCAGAACCACCTCGAAATCCGAATCCACCGGATGCTGGTGCTAGTTCTGCGGGAGCTGCGGCCGCTGCCGTGGGTGCTTTCGGTCGTCCTCCTAGCCCACCACCGAGACGACGAGGCTTCCAACCTTTCACTGTTCGGCCCCGTTCTACGTCTACTAGAATCCGGCGCCCTTTGATTTTCAGTCCTTCAGCATCCTTGTACGCGGCTGAGCAAATCCAAGTGATCGAAGGGCACATCCGACCCGTAGTTCAAGATGCAGATAGATGATCATCGAAGTGAAAAGATGAGGGTAGGAATTTCGGGATGGCAGGTGACAGAAGGCGTCCAAGTTCGACAGCGATAATGAATGCATCATAAACGTACCGGATGCGAGAGGGGAATTGAGGTGATAAAGAAGGAATGAGGAAAGGAGAGAAATTTTTTTCAAGTTCAACTTACCCATCTGATTAGTGAAAAATGGATATAGAAACGAGAGGAAAAGAGTAAGAACAGAAGAAAGGAAGGAAGAAAGAAAGAAAGAAAGAAAGAAACACCACTGGTTAAGTTGTCAAGTTGACCATGGCGCTCAGTAGAGGTGGGGGCAGACAATTCTTTTTAAAAGGTTAAAAATTTTCTTCTCTCTTTTCATCATCTCCATGTACAAAAAGACATACAAAGAAAGACTCCAAGATGGTGAGGAAAGATAGAGAGGAGGAGGGAGGAGGGGGAAAATGTATAGAGGAGAGAAAGTCATAGATGATAGAATGAGAAGTTTAAATTTACCCTTCATATCCTTTTCACGTTCGAACAGTATGAACGCATACCCCTGGACTTTTACCCGTCAGTTTATTCTTTACGATCACCAGTTTATCAATCGGTCCATACATGTCAAACTCTCGCTTCAGATCCGATTCGGTCACTTCGTATGATAGTCGAGAGATGAATAGCGTTCGATATGGATCCCCAGTCGCATTTGGATCTTGTTTGGGATCATCTAGAAATAATTTACAGAAAAAAACAATCAGAACATAACACGATCGATCATTACTATAAGGGAGAGCAAAAAAGATGCCAACAATTTTCTTCTCGTGCTAGTTGTTCTTCTTTCCTCCGACGGCGTTCTTCCTGGCGGCGTTCGAACCGAACTTGCATCGAATCAGTCAAGGTCTCAGGTGGCATCCGGTCGACCAAGGGGTCCTTCTCTCCATTTTCCTGATTGACGCCATCCTCATTGGTACTGGCGGCTTCCAACTTCAGACGATCGAGAAGAGGTGAGACACAGCTGATGTGTTTTTTATGGATTGAGACATCGGGATCCCGTCCAAGTGGTTTAGAGTAGGGAAGTGGGGGACGGGGGGCAAAGAGCTTGAGCAAGTTGGGTGGTAATTGATGAGTGCCAACCATCCTCAAACGAAGTCTTCCAAGTCAGTGGTGATCTCGAGCGGTATATGTGGTTGATTAGTTAGTTGGAGAGATTTTGACAGGATTAGTTTGATGCTTGATGAGGATGTGGTGAAGTTGATGAACTCCACTGGTTTCTAGTTTTTGAGGTTGGTGTCTGGTTTTGAGACGCGGAGGGGGGGAAGTGGCAGACGGACTGTCTGGGGGAACACTGCCCGCAAACACAGCCAGCGCCGAGGGGTGGACCACACAACCTCGGGCTGAGCTGGCACCCCGAAAACAGACCGAGCCAATCGGGGCGCTCAGCTCGGCCTTCAACGCCCGCAACACCAGCTGATCATCGGCGCCCCACGTCGAGCACGGAAGGACTTGAGTTAAGTTCGACATATCCATACAACGTCGGACACAACTGGTCGGGCCACCGGTTTTTGGGAATCCTGAGTGCATTAACAAGTTTAACATTAAACCTCAAACCATCTCTTCTTTCCACAGGTACCGCTACTAGCGATGTCGCATGAGACATTCATTCTCATCCTGACCCTGGGCTTGGGGGACACCTCAACATCTTGCCCCCTCTTTTATATTGTTTTTTCTCTTTTGTCTTGATTCTTGCTCCTCCATACTTTTCTATCTTCCCCCTTCTCTCCCCTCTCCTTCGATTTGTCCTTCCTAAACCGCTCACCAAGGCCCTTGCCTTTTCCATCATCTCGACACTGCCCCTTTTGATCTTCTCTTTCCTAAAGGCATTTCCCGGCCTCGTAACGAGACACGAGTCCTGGGCCAAGCAATAGGCTCTTCCTCTAAGCCTATGTCAAACCTAGACCAAGAAAATTTTGAGAATGGAAATGTCGTTGCACCATCAGTTGGACTTTATGAGACAGAAAAGGGCACACCTGTAGGCAAAAGCGCAAATGCAAAAGGCAAAGGGAAGGCCCTCGAATCAAAATCAGTCCCTAAGAAGAGGCGTGGAGCATCAACTCCAGACGCTGTACTCTGACATTAACATGCAAAAGTTCTCTTCACCTAATCTGGCCCATTGAGGCCTATTACCCAAATGTGAACCCATTGTTTACACCAAATTTGTTTTCACTTGATCTCGCTATTCAAGGCCTATTGCCCAAATCCGAACTCGTTTAATTCCGGAATAGTAAACGTTTGTTTCTGCTGAATATGCCTTAGTAAAACTTCTGTAACAACATGGGGTTTTGATCTATTGTGATTGAAAATTGGCTTTCAATTGCGAAAAATCTTAGATCACACATCTTAATCTTCTATTCTATTATTTCCCATTGCTCCCCTTCACCCAATCAAACCAGAGATATTGTTAGTTATGATGTTTGTCGAGACGAAAATTTATTTCTTCTACTTATGACTCATTGATCCTTTGCTGTCTATCTGCCATGGTAACACAATGTGCCAGCCTCTTGAGACGGAACTTGGGATTATGACTCTTAATGATTTCTTCAAGTTAACAAATATTGTTACAATAGCGAGTAAGATGATGAGTACGACTGTGATATCTCAACTTGCTCCGGCCGAGAATGTGAGAATAGAGGCAGGTCACTGCAATCATTGGATCTCATGTTGCCATATCCTGAGCTTGAATTTTTCACTCAACGCTTCATCGTCAGTCTTGAGCCAAGCTCACTACAGGATATGGTAACGTTTTCTTCCACAGACCCCGGGGAACACTATACTGTGTCGCGTGCTTCAGATGCTGAGGGGACTGTGCCATCTTGGATACAACACACATGAAGTACTTTCTCCACCCTGGGGCCCGTACTGATTGCTCACATATGTAGTCAGTTGCTTACCCTCCAGCCTTGATAAGCTCATGACGTGTTGAGAGTGTCATCATTGCCGGGTAAACAAAATCGCATTTGCTTTGGGTTTCCTCTGTTCAAGATGTGTATCCACTCTTTTGCCAGACAGAATTGTGATCCTTGCTTCTTTCTAATGTTTCAATGCCGACCCCTCCCAACATCAAGGCATCATTATTGCAACTTGTCTTGTATGCAGTTACAAAATCGACCCTTACAAGATACGACATCAATCAAAAAAACCCTGCTCGACATGCATTCTTCCTTACCCCCCTCCCCCATGGAGTATGTCATCAAGCAGAGTACTAGCAGGAAAAAAAAACTCCTCCATTTGAGAGAATCTCACACGCCAGAGCATTCCCTTTACTCCTGACCAGTGGTTTATCACCTCAATCCACGCATGGAATTTCTCTCAAAGTTAGATGTGAATATATCAAGCTCTTAAAATTCAAAACTCACAAAACTCAACCTCAGATGTTTCCTTCACACTATGCAACTGTTTTAATTTTCTTATTTCTCAATCTACAAGACCAAACCATTCGGAACTGTAATAAAACATATGGAATGAATAAATTATGTTTAAAGCAAAACTGGTGGCGAAGCCGCCCTTAGACACTAGTATCTCTCTAAAGCTCGTAGGTACCAGGTATAACTAACTCCATGGCATTCAACGGATTCGAATTGTCATTTTGAACCCTCATAATTGCTTGACTAAGTACAGTTTTTACAAATTTTGAACAACAATTTAGCCCCAGAAAACAACCTGCGAATTGCCCCCCACTTCATACTATTACATTGGTCTGATTCCAGGTCCAATTTTGGATTATTTGTCCAGGCATGGTGTTCAAAAGGTTTTTATGGTACTATGCACCCACACCTCTATTCACAAAAAATGCATTTTGTTCCTTTACCTTCATATTAAGATCTATATCTCTTTGATAGACATCAATCTTCATGAAGTTTTTCTCCTGTCTTGAAGGGATTTTTTACAATTTGTTGTTATATTGCTGCTTTCAAATCTTAGTGGATGCACTAGCGTGCTATGCACCAAGGAGATCAAGCAAAAGAAACTCTTGGTGCTAACGGCAGTGAGAATAAATAAATAAAGTCCTAAAGGTACAATAAGGTTGGAAATGTTTAGGGAGAATTCCAGATTTTTGTTTTCCTACTGTTAAATAGGGTTTCCTGGTAGTGGTATACCAGAAGCAAATCAAAGCCCAAGGGTTAAAGCACTGTATTCAAACCAGATGTAAAGTTACCTAATGACGAAAATTTCTGCGGTTTTCAAAAGCATTGACGACCTAATTACTATTTACAGCTTCTGAAGCAAATTTCAAGTGCTTTAAAAATTGATTGATTTCTAGCATCATGCTCCTCCTGTTTCCGAAGCCCATTACTTCCCACTTCAGGATACATTTAGGCTCAGAGTCAAAGTATGAGTAGAATGACTGTTTTCATTGAGTTGGCATTTCTGACTTGGATCCAGGTCTATTTTGTATCATCCAGCTTCAACTTCAACATTCTATCCGGAGTGGACAAAGCCTCAGAGGAGCCAAGGCAGCTGGGCACGATTGACGAGGCAGGTAGAGCACCATCTGTTCAAACTCCCGCCGAAATCTTCAGGAAGAGCAGCGGACTCTCAGGTCTGCCTGTGCTCTCAGAAGCTATATCAGCCGGGACATTAGGCTCCACAGGTCAGTCAAGTGATTTTTAATTAGCCATCAAGAACTCCGACTGAATGATCGGGAATCGGGAAAATCTGTCATGGATCATATTTCAGATGCTTCATCAGATGGATTCGACTCTGGTCGTCCCGGAAAAGTCAGGAAATGGCTATCAATAGGGCCGTCAAGTTATCAAAGCGAAGGGCATTCGGAAAGTAGTAATGAGCCTCCTTCAAAAAAGCAACATTCAAATCTGGATACGACCGTTGCTTCTCCAGCAACGGACAGTAACACTTTCTGGCTGCCTTCAGGTGAGTCTTCTTTGAAAAAAGTGCAAGCCCATGGTAAATCGTCTGGAAACTGTTAGTATGACATCGAACACAACACGAAAAACGATCTAACACGATTATTCCTATCTTCGTCCAAAAATCAATCGGCCAAACGACCACACAGGCACAAGGACATCGTCTATCTTACAAAAAACTCTTTCCCACTCGCAAAACAGCGAAGCTAGTCTTTCAAAGATCTGTACCAACCCCATTTCAATAAACCCCAATCAAGAGGTACGGGGAGTTTTTTTGGGGTGCATTGATCCCAAATTCTGGGCTTGGGCTTGGGTAATTTGGAAGCACGTTGGGAATTTAAAATCTCAGGAATTGGAAGAAAACACTGGACCATTTGTATCAGTGTTGAACGATTTGTTTATTGAACAAAAGCAATCCCACCAAGCTGAAACCAACATTAAACAACAACCATTTGATACACATTCTTGTCAAAAAGGTATTCAAAAACTTTCTTCTTTAGTGTGGGTTTTAAATCTCAGAGTTCTTGAAATCATGGGATTGCTTAATGTATACGATGAATTCTATCTTGAAGAACAGAGAACTCTGATGCATTGGTTTGTTTGGTTCATGTCACTTTATCAAGAGAACATCTCAGTCCAAAATCTAACTGAGCAAGGAAGATATAAAGTCTCAGTAACCGATGAAGGCAGGTTTGTTTACCAGAAGATATTGAAAGCTATTGATGTAAGCAATTCCGATGGAAAGAGAGTATCATACAGGATATCTCAACCAAAGCACAAATTTGATGAAGATTTAATTTTGTGGAAAGAGCTAATTATCAGTGAAGCTGCTGTGAATATGCTTTGCTTTTACTACAAAAACACTAACTATGAAAAATGGAAATTCGCTTTTGGAACAAATGACTTTTACTTTACAGATAAATTAGCTAACTGTGGTACATGGTGGGGAGATAGGCCTTTTGGAGAACTTCCGATACATGTGAATCTTCTACCCTGGAAGAGCCCCTTACAACCAGGGCTTTCAATATTTGGTTTGAACAACCTCAAGATTCCTAGTTTTTGCTTTGAGAGATATGTTAAGCCGGTTAATTCCTTTGGATATTCTTTCAAGATTGAGGAGGGAAAGATTCTTGAAGTTCAGAATTCATATCACTTTTTCCTGGGAGATCAAGATCAAAAACTATGGGCATGGTTATCATGGATGCATGTGCAAGAAAGGAATACACTACCTGTTTCATATAAGCCAAATCTTAAATTAATAATATTTGCAAAAAACCTCCTTGAAAAAGAAATCATGGAAAGATTAGACAAAAAAGCAAGACTGCCTCTGCTTCTCAAATTGCAAAACATTACACAGGAGGGATTGCATGATTTATTTGAATTGATGTGGGACATGAATGAAATAATTCTTGAATATATGGGTGGGAATAGTTCAATTGAAACAATTTTGAATGAGCAAAAGTCAGTCCAAATTTTTTTTGAGTTTTTGTTTTGCAAACAACACAGAAAAAAACATCCAATTGAAATAACTGGAAAGAGTCATAACTTTGATCATGCAGCACAGCAACAATACCTTCAATATACAATCAAGACTCTCTTTCTTTTAGAGAAAAATAATTATCTCTATGAATTGGAATCTCCACACCAAAATCATGATCAAAAAATATACATATCAGATAAGGATATTTTAAAGTTTCAGATTGTAGTGAAAATTCTTGGTAATTACTACAAGAGCCAGAACAATCAAAAATGGCACACAATATTCCAGGAGGATCAAAAATTCTTTAATTTTCTCATGAGATTAAGCTTTTCATATTACTTCAGGGGGAACCATGATTTCTATCAACAAAGGAACCTTCCTCCAATTTATTCATCAGATCTACTTCCTTGGAAGAAAAAATATCAGAACTCAAATTTATCAGTATCTCATGCACAATTTGAAAACCCCCTGGAAAATTGGGAAATCAAAATAATAAAGGAATCTTTGAAGGAATTCAATGGGGATATACACACAAGTTGATCATGTATGGATAATCTAGACCAAAATTTGAATGATTAAAAATCATTTGAAATCCAGTTTGACAATGTTTTCTTTTAGATCCATTTTTTAATTGAAATTTATGTTGAGGAAGAAAACATGACACAAATACCTGATTTCATCTCTGGTCTCTTATATATGTGACCAAGATTTGATGAGGTATAGGTTCACACTATAGCCAAGAGGTGGCCAGTGGAAGTAAGCCTCTGCTCAACACTTAAAGAGTGGATGGGCTATCTCCTTATAATAATAAGGGACAACTGTGGAATGAGTTTCACAGTGCCTGAGCTGTTAGAATGTGAGAGAAATAAGGTTATGTTAGTATTATAAGTCAAAGATGTAACTTATATAGACTACACCCGGTGTGGTAAGACCAATCAAGGTCATACCCAGTAAAAAATAGCTATACATACTAGTTTTTATGATGTTACAACAATATATGCATAAGCTACATAACATATTATCTTGTATCCAGTTCAGAATATTATAAGATAGTAGTTTTTACACTCATTTGGTTAGATAATATATGGTACCACATAGCTACAACATACTACATATCACACATCTCAAGATACAAACAACGATGTAACACATCCAATATGATACGGTATTGGCCAATTTACTGGATCGGATCACTTGATTGATCCCGGGAATCTAAAAATGGGGGATTGGATTGGCCACCCAATCCGATACCCTGGGTATTATATTGCAGGAGGAAGTATCAAAGCACAAGGGATTGGTATTGTATTGCAATACCAATCCAATACCAATCCGGTATCTGTGGGATCAGTTCAAAAGCCATTTTTTTGCATATATTTTTTTATCTTTTGATATTATAATATAAAATAAAATAAAAAATTAATAGGGGGTATCAAATATAGGAAATCCACCTTTAGAAACCAGTGACTTTTCCCAAAATTTTTTTTGCATCAATGGGCCCTAAAAGGGGTTAAATGAAGAGCCAACATGTTTAAAAAAGGGTGGATTTTTTCAAACCAGTCAATTAAATAATGGTGGATTTGATTATATTTGATACCCCCTAATAAGTGAACATTAGACTATATTTTTCTCAACATGGAGAGTCTGACTTGAGAGTTTTTTTTCATTGTTTGTAATATATTTATAATTTTCAGACTTAATGTAGAGAAATATACAGCTATATTTTTCTTCAAAGGATTTTTTTCTAGCTGCCATGGGAGTTGAATTAAATTTGGGAGACTGAGTGTGAGCCTGGGACTCTATAGTGACAGCAGGACACAAGATATGGGGGGCACTTTTATATGTATTTCTTATGAGAAGAGGGATACAAATAAAAGTAAGAGAAAGAGAAGATGAGAAAAGAAGGAATTGAAGTACATTTTTGTTCTTTATTTATTTTATGTTGATGATTAAAGTTCTGGCAGTCTTACTGTCCCTTTGCGGATGGCTGCGGAAAGTCTTACTTTCCTTTCAGGATAGCTGTTATAAGCGGAGCTAACTCTTACGCCTCCAAATCAACAGAAACTGAAATGGGTTATTGACACTGATGAATCGGCTCAACCACAATTTTTTAGATCAAAGATCAAGGCTCTTTGAAGGGAAACCTATGTAGTTTTCAGTTGTACTACCAAATAGGAAGAATTGAGATAGTAGAAGCTAGAGCTTGCTTTCTTTGATCAGGGCTTTGGTTTGATGAGGAATGAAGAGAAGCTGAGAGAGACAGAGAAGAGAAACTGTCAGCCTCTATGCTACCAACCTGTAAGGGTTGTGCTCTGAGTGTTAACAAGAAGTGTAAGGAGATGGTTTATTTGTGGTAAAAATCCCTCAACCTGTAAAAGAAACAGGGAGGAGTCAGTGAGGAATGGTACTTCTACTGCTGACTCATCCAATTATTCAATTGGGCATCCAGATCAATCCTGTTACGTGGATTAATAGGCTTCCAATGTGAGGAATTCTTCTACTCACTTGGGATCAAGTCTTTTAACAACAATCCAGATGAATAAGTGTATGTACACTTAAGGACCAGAATTGTTTAACCAGGGGGATAATTCTTTATGCAATAGAGATAAGTAGAAATGCCTTGAATCTGAGCAAAGTAAATCTATTTAGGTCTAAGGTAGCTGGGTTGTAAGGTTATTGGTGGTTTGAATCACTAATAATCACGGTACAAGTGTTGTTTTGATGCTACTAGAATTTCCTGGGGGGAAAGGTAAGAATCTGAGCTCCTTAAATATTCTACAGGGGGCTCAGGGGAAGAGGAGAGGCCCTCAGGGCACTAGGGAGCTTCTTAGCAGCTCTACAATTTTGTGTAAGGATGGGAGCTGCAGCTGTGCAGTGCTATGCATGGGTGGAAGGTCCTAGGACATGAGATCATACATGCATAATTGAGTTTTGTGGCCTATATCTCACGTAATTAAAAAGGCTACAGTTACTGTGCAGGGGCTGTGCAATTGTAGAGTTAGTTGCATACGTGTAACTCTGCTTATGCAAGCTTGTGATCATGAGAAATGCATGTCCTTCATGCATAATTCAGTCTTGCATGTAGAATTTGGGCTCCTTTCCCGTGTAGGCTGCTTTGAATTATGCAAGCTTTGAATTAGAGCAAAAAAGGGTCCTGATGACGCCATCCAAGAGGTTTAGGATGCAATCTGATGCCCTGATGATGTGATCAAGGATGGTTAAGCTTCAGATAAATTTATATAGCTTATACCTCATCCATTTCACGCTTCTACTAGCTGATTCTTACACCTATGTTATTAATTTATGTATTATAAAATATGTAAATAATGTATAAGAATAAATATTGTATTAATAATTTATTCTAAAGCTACTTCAGTGAAATCCTAGTGATATTATATGTACAATGCTGAAGGGGATTTCACAGTTAATTATAGAATTATTAAATATAAATTATGAATTAAGATTAAATGTAAATACATATTTATTTATTATTTTAACAACAATGTATAATCTGGCATGTACATGAAAACCTAAAGGCTGGAGTAATTCTTGAAGTACTAGTGAATTATTACAAAGTCAATGAAGGAATGGAGTTGAGTAAAAGTGACCAGTGGTGACTAGGGTTAATTATACACCAGGAATCCATTTCTGAAGTCAAAAACGTTAAAAGTCTTAAGACAAAAAGGATAAGATAATATTTGGAATAGAAATGGTCAGTTTTGGCAGTCTTCTGGCCAGCTTGGCTGGCTCTAAGGCTGACAAGGAGTGGGGGTTGGTGGAGGCTTTGAATATAGGGCAAAAAAAAGATAGAGAAGAGAATAAAAAAATCATAGAGAAGAGAAGGAAAAAAAATCATAGAGAAGAGAAGAAAAAAAAATCATAGAGAAGAGAAGAAAAAAAATCATAGTGAAGAGAAGAAATTGGTTTTTTTTTTTCTAGTTGTCATGGGAGTTGAATGAAATTTGGCAGACTGAGTGGGGTTTGGTAGAGGCTGTGAATATAGGGCAAAAAGAAGAAAAAAATGACAGAGAAGAGAAGAAATTAAACTTTGACGCTTGAGGTCAAAGCCACAGGGGTTTATTTGGTCTTGGCTGCTTGCAGTTCCGCTTGAGTAGCAGAGTTTATGTCCTGGGCCTCCTGGAATGGGCCATTGGGCTTTATCACTTGGGTAATTCATTGGTGTGAACTTACACATCTCTTGATTGTTTTGGAAGCTAAGTTACCTCAATCTTGCCCGCAAATGTCCACTGTGGCCAAAAGAAATTGCTCCACACTTGCAGATGTAGCACTCATAGCCAGGTACTCTTGTGCCAGTAGCGCCACCACTGGGAATTGTGTTAAATATTGCTGTATTTCATGGAAACAAAAATTGATCAGATGACAAATTCAGATCTTGAAACATGAAAAGAATTAACCTACCTTCCACCAAGTTAAGCAGTCAGCAACCTGTGAAGAGGGCAGCCAATACTTACCGCCAAGGTACACTGCTAGTTTGTTGTAGGTCTCTGGCGCAGCATCCAAAAAGAAGTCAACATCTTCCTCCAGTCCTCCACCAGGGGCTAGGGTGGTGTTCTTTTTGGGTGGGGGGGGTGTCTTCATCTCTTGCTGCCTGTTTGCGTTGTTGGAATTTACCATCAAGAAGGGACTGCGCGCGGGGGAAGGCTGAGGGTTACCACTTCTGGATCATCAAGAGGTGATAGCTGGGGTTGAGTGCTGTTGCGAGGAGGATGGCATTGCACGCGAGAGCCTTGTTGATGTAGGTATTGTTTTTTTTTTAGCATTGTGTTGATCATGTTCTTGAATTTGACCTCCATGACAGTGCTGAGCTTGTCCTCTAGGTATTGTCGCAGGAGCCGGTATTTTGCGAGGACCATGGATGCTGATGGGATGTTACCCTCCATCTTCTTAGTGATGTAATAAAATTCCTGAGGATGATAAATTGAAATAAGAACATGGGAAATTAGATATTGAAATAAAAACATGGGCAAAAAGTAAACATGGAGTGAAGAAGACAGAGCTTACACTGATGATGTCATTCAATTTCTTGACAATGTCCCAGTCACTTTGTGTGATTTTGTATTCGTTGAAGTGGTTCTTGCCTCCCTCGTGATCTTGTCTATCTTGCTCGTTCTCAATGAGTTTGTTGATGACATTCCGTGTGATATACACCTTCTCGCAGCTCTTGAAGTTGATATTCCATTGTATTCCGTAGCCTGCAATCAGAGTGGTCCCCATGTAGTCAAGTTTTTTGACCCATGTGTTGAACTCTGCTTGCTTGGCCAATGAGGAACTGATTCGTTGAATGACATAATCAACCTAATTTAACAGTATAGACCTTGGTCAGCAACATAATCTAACAGTATAGAGCGGGGTCACGGGGGGAATATAACCAGATAAAAAAAACTGACCTTCTTCAATACCCTCTCAATAACATTTAGACATTGGCCTCCCTCAGTTCTGGCCCGTTGTTGTCACTGCAGTTGGAGTCTGAATTTTCAAAGAATCCATTGATATCAAAGGGGTTGGCCATTGGGTCCACTTGGCCTAACGTCTCTGACTAGGATGATTCCTTGGATATGGCACAAAGCCCAGGGACAAAACCCAACACTGAGCTGGTGGGGATTTGATTGTGTTGGGGTACCAAGATTGCTTTGAGGCCAGCATTGAGGATGAGGGCCAGCTTGTGACAGAAGCACCAAATGTGATTCTTGGCGATGGAGATGTCGTTGGTGTGATTTGCATCCTTCTTGAGCAAACGGTTGACTTCAACGGCCATCGTGAGGTTATTTGATCCTGAGTCAGTAGTTTTGGCTATGATGTAAATAAAAGAACCAACTGAAGTTCTGATTAGCTGGGGTGTCATTCAAAGTTTGATACATAATAATAGAAAGACTTATCTTATTGTTCAAGAGGGACTTGATGAGTATGTTGGCCAATGGTATTGCCAGGTATTTGCCCTTATGCGTCCACACAATATATCTCTGTTCAATGAGGTTCAGCTACCTTGATTCCTTCCAGTCAGGTGGGAGTGACTCCCACCCCCCACCCCCCTCCCACCATTCATGAGGGGTGATTTAGGGAGCCGACTCCCAAAAAATAAATAAAATAAAAAACAAATTTGGGTGGACAATGTGGTAATACCAATAGACTTCTCTTCATCTATTATCTCTTATCTTTACACAAGTTTACCTCTCAGTAAAACTTCATAGTCGCTAGCGTTTAGAGTTATAGGTAGCTTTCCCTTCCTTAAAATGCCAATGTTTTAAGTTCTTGTCCAAAGTGAACCATTCAATCAAAAAGGATGCTGGAAAAACCATCAAAACTGTCCTTTTCCCAGCTGAAAAGTTTCTTCCTCTGGGAACTTTCTGCTAATGCCTATTTTCATGGGAGGCATGCTGAGGTTTATGTGCTGTGTGTTGATAAACGCATACCCTCCCCCCTCTCTCCCGCCCATGCCCCCACCCCTCCAAAAGGGGTGTGCAATTGGACCCGCCCATCTCTGAGGGGCAGTTTGGTTGCACGCCCCTCGGAAGCCTGATTTTCCAAGGGGTGTGTGATCAAACCTGCCCCTCAGAGACAGGCGGGTGGGATTGCATGCCAACCACTCAAGAGGTCATGGCAGGCTGACGTAAGCAAAACATGCTGGAGAGTTTTGCTTACTTCAGCGCTCAATGGCTGGGAGGGATTCCTCCCGTTCTTTGAAACTTGTACAGTCTAGATTGCCGGGAGGGATTCTCCCGGTCTTTGAGACTTGTACAGTCTCAATAGCCGGGAGGGATTCCAGGATTCCTCCTGGCCTTCAAGACTTGTACAGTCTTGAAGAACGGGCTGAATCTGCTAGCGGGGGGGTTGTGGATTTGGTTGGTTTCTCAAGTGCATGGATGGAAAGTTTCAGATGTTGAGTGAAGATGGGGTGGTTTGAGTGAGGAAAAAGGTGTAGATACAAGAAATCACCCAAAATTAGATACAAGAAATCACCCAAAAATAGATACAGCTGCTTGCAAGAGAAATTTTGTAATCATCAAAGGTTTCACTCAAATTGGTGATTCTTGCTTATGTAATGTTCCTTGCAAGTCTTGGAGCTCAACTTTGATTTTTATTTATTTATCAAGATTTCATATTTTACAATTCCAGTTTCCTCACTGAAATCAAATTCAATACTTCTTTTCACCCCTCAACCACATCATGATTTCCAGTGTCTTCACTTTGTATCCCTAATATCTTTTTTGTAACATTCTAATTTAGAGAGGCACAATGCCTTTATTCTTCATCTATGGTTTGCTGATTTGATCTGATTCTGTCATTACTAGATAGATATAGAGATTATTTACCAGGGAAAGCAACTGACTCCTCAGGAAACCTGGGATCACATCAAATCTGACATAGCAAGATATGTAGGACAGTCCACCCTCTTTTTCATACCAACAGTAGGATTACAGATGGTACAGCAATACATGGTGTAATCTCACTTACCCATCAGATACACATATGGTTTCATAGATAGCAATGGAAACTGTTTGTTCAGAGCTTTCAGTCAATAGAAAAATGGCAGTCAAGAAGACCATGATGAAGTGGGAGAAAAAATTCACACATTTTCAACACTTCAGCAAGGATTAATCAAAAACAATCTAGGTCACAATGCTCAAGACAAGGATGTGGACCGTTGGATCAACCAAATGGGACAGCTTGGAGATTATAAAAAACATCAAATAGGACAGGACCACCTCACACGCCAACAGGGCAAGGGTTGTGATAGCAATCCAGGTCCAATTAACCTAACCTTACTTAGCCTTACCTAACCCAGTAGGAGAAAAATAAACATCAGGCTGTGATATCCTGAAGATGGTAATATAAGGCAAGTAATAGGTTGACTGGACTCAGATTGCTAGCACAGCCCTTAAACTGTTGTCAGGTGAGGTACTCCTGAGCTATTTGATGTTTTTTATAATGTCCAAGCTGTCCCATTTGGCTGATCCAACGGTTCACATCCTTGTCTTGAGCATTGTGATCTAGATTATTTTTGATAAATCCTTGCTGAGATGTTGATACTGTTGATATGAAAAAGAGGGTGGGCTGTCTCACATATCTTGCTATGTCAGATTTGATGTGATCCCAGGTTTCCTGAGGAGTCAGCTGTTTTCCCTGGGAAATCATCTCTATATCTATCTAGTAATGACAAATCAGCGAACCATAGATGAAGAATAAGGGCGCGTACCATAGCTGCCCGCGGGCTGCCAATTTCCAATTTTTTTGGCAGTAATCGATTTTGACCAAAAACGTGTACCACAAGGGTCAGTTTTTATGACAACTGATCTAATCGTTTTCTCACGTTTGCTGCTGTTTGAGGAAACGGCCTTACCCCCGTTTGGGGAAACGCTTCATCTGGCATTCTGCAGCATTTTCTTGTCACCAAAGCCCAATCATCATATGTACACAATCGATCCGACCCTTCTTCAGTTATCACCGCCTGCTCGCTCCACAGTCCCCCTGATTAGACTTGCAACCAATCAGCTTCACAACCAATCGGCTTCACAGGCCTCAAACGAGAAAGCATCATCGACTGCAAACACCTCAACAATGTGTCCTCATCTGTCGTTTTATTTTCAAAGGACTTGCTGAGTCGATCAAACATTCTAGAAATGGTATGATTGATAGATCGATCAATCAATAGAATTGATGCAAAAAAGACCAATGGGAAGAAAGAAAGCAAAGTACGATCGATTGGTGGGAAGAATGCAAATATGTGATGCATGGAGATGTTGTAGTGAGTAGCTTTGATGATGAGTAATTGGGATGTGCTGAGGGATAGGTGTGATGGAGATGAGGTGCCTTGGTGAAAAACTGTGTGTGTGGTACACGTTTTTGGATAAGGCCGTTTCTCAACCTGTTTAAAAAAAAGCGCAGAAAAAAAAACGGTCGGGAATTGATTTTCAAATTGGGATGCGCTGTGGTACGCGCCCTAAAGGCGCTGTGTCTTTAAATTAAAATGTTACAAAAAAGATATTAGAGATACAAAGTGAAGACAGGCGAAGAGCAGGTAAGCAAAGAAGAAAGGAGGGTGTTTGTGCCCTAGTCCGTGAAAAGGATGACAATCACTACTACTTCTTACCACAGACAAGTCACCCAAGTTCAACAAGCACAACAAACAAGTGGTGTTAACCTTCACATCTCAACGGATGTGCAGTTGGAATACTGATCAACAGCTCATGAAGTTGGGGATGGGAAAATATCATCTCTTATTAGCTAATGAAACCGCAGTGATCACAGCTCGATAGTGTCGCATTCCATGTAGCGCATGTCAAAATGTGGCATCGTGCGGGTTCCGAGTAGAGTTGAACAGAGATTGAAGTCGTCAAACCATGGCGATGGCACCCATATACCGCGTCAGAAACAGCCCTTCTAATCTCTAAGGGGTTGGTATTAATGATCCAATGGACAGTCTAAGACACCCAACAACTTCGTCATAAACCAAGTCGAGCAAGCACCAATAAGCAATCGGCAGGGCGGTGCCTTGGGCATTCGCATGATCTCGAGGATGAGCAAGAAACTACAACGAGGAGGAGTCATGAAGTCCGGCATTTAAATAGTTTCACAAGAACATTCTTGGGCATAGGACACCGTTCCTGAATCCGGTCGCGACATTGGTACATTTCGGAATAGCCGTCATGATGGCCCCGAGGAGTAGCCGCCCACGAGAGAGGTAGTCATGATTCTTGATGCGAGTCGAGATAAGGACTCGACTAGAATGTGATCATGGGGTAGTCAGCTTGGGCAGGCAGCTCACTGACCCGAGGTTCCTATCGGTGCCCCGTCGTCCTGCTCTGTCTTAGTAGGTTTATGTTTTCTTTTTGCATTACTTCGCATTAACAGCTAATTAGGGATACTCACACATCCAAGAGTCCACAAGACTTTTGCCAGTCGAGACTCTGAATCAAAAACCTTGGGTAAGGATCTGATTTAAAGTCTCACTTGCTAACTTTCTTTTCTTTTGTACAAGTTTGGCTGCAGGAGCAACTTAATCGGCAACAGGAGCAAATCGTTCGGCAACAGGAGCAAATCATTCGGCAACAGGAGCAAAACTTCCGAATACCAGCTAGGCACATGTGACTTATCGTCTTTCCTATAAAGATTTGGCCAAGGACCGGCTAACACTGACCTCCGAATACAGTCGCGGAGTGCCCCATCGTCATACGAACCGGCCCAGAAACACTCGGTCCACTGGAATGTAGCGGACTTGAGCGAGTGCTGCGTCCGGCGAACGGTCCTGTTAGCCATCTTTCACCTACAATCTGGCGGGATATGCGGGTGCTGAGGTGAGATTCGAAAATCGACTGGGTGCCCTGTTCACAAATGGCTATTGGAGACTTCGGATCTAGTGGGCAGTTCTGAGTGTGGCCGAGATATAAAAGCCGCTGCTTTCGCGGCTTAAAAACTTCTTTCTGTACCAGCTCCACAATCCTCCTCATTCCCAAAGAGCAATCCATACCCTCAGCTATCTGTCTTCAACATCCCTTTCGATATACCCTTTCGTAGATTTCTTGAATCCCTCGTCCAATCTTTCCACGGCTTAATACCAAAGCATTAGCTTAAGCCTCTAGCAAAATGTCGAGCAACAACATCACTCCTTCTCAAACACCTCGGGCCTCCAAACTCTCGGGGTCAACTTTCAGCTCGCCCGACTCAGTTGAAGGACTGGTGAGTAGAGTTTTTCGCTATTCAGCTTTCACAAGGGGTCGCTCTCGGTAAATTTACTGACCCTTCCGGTACCAGAACGAAAACTACAGCACTCAAGTGGGACGCCAAAGCCCAACCAAAGAAGTGTGTTCGCCTTGTTCTAGTCGTTCGGGTCCCCTTACCCCTCAACAGCGCAGACATGGAGCATCGTTCTCCAAGATCACATTCAGCACGGCTGAGTTTAGCGAGGAGCGCTACATCTACTCCCCCGTAGGCCAATATCCGGATCTGACGGCTGACGAGTCACCAAAGGACGCAGGCTTCGTGCCATTCTTCGCCATTCCTGCCACCAGGCACTCGGCGTGCACGCAAACGGAGACGGAGACTCGTCCCAGTGCCAGCAATGTCCAATCGGCGGAATCGTTGCGTCCGGCGTTTTCCTCAGACAAGAGGGATTCGCACTGCAGTTTTCTAGACTCGTTACTCGTATCTCTATACGATAGTACCAAGCCTATGCCGACCCTACCAGGCTGGGAGGAAGATCTGGCCGATCTTTTGGCCCAGGAAGACGACCCATTCTGGACTGAAGACTGCACGACGGAGCCCGAGAACCTGGAGGATTCGGTCCCACTAGGACATCACTCGGGAGTCCTTCCGAGTACCCTCAAACGTTCTCCCGCACGCGCAAAGGGATTAATACGACGAAAAAGGCTTCCCGTTCCGACAGTCATCCCAGCGAGTGGCTCATCTGGAGGTTGTCCCTGCGGAAAGCGATCCGCGCCTAAACGCCACCTGATCGACCCGGCGATCATAGCCGCCCGGGCAGACTTTCAGTATTGGAACGCCATCCTCGATGGACGTCAACTTCCTTGAGTGTTCCCCAGCTCTCTCGCCTGCTAGAAAGAAGCAGATTTTCAGTACGGTTTTCTTGAGTTTATCAGTGTATCAACAGTAGAAGTGTTAGTTTGTTAGTAATAGTTTAGTAGCTCGCAGTCCTTTGTCCGAGAATTTCCCACAAATATCCGTTTTGTAACAGCTAAAGAATCACTCGATAGCGAAGGGATTCCGTAGCGTTGTTTCTGTAGTATTAGTAATTGTCTGGGTAGCCAAGAGGCGAATGCACATTTTTGTCGATCGCACCCTCATGTGGACACTATCTGTGACCGAGCTGGCTTGAGAGGACGGCCTTTGAGCTGTTTTGAGAAGGAATTGCTTTAACGAAACCGACATGAGGGAAACAGGATAAAGTGAATGGACCCTACGATCTATGATCGAGTTGCTTTGAAAGGCAGGGGATGTGGAGAAAGACGGGACATCTTGCAAGAGACCAAGTCGGATTGATGGAAACAAGAGCAAGACAAAAAACATGCTGCAAGCTGAACAGATTTTTATCTGGGTGTTTCGGATTGCACACCCACTTGCCGTTTCAGGATTACCATTTATCGAACCACTGAGTGCTGATTAATGAATTTGGCTGGTAAAGAGTAAGCTCAGACGAGCAGGACTCAGCTGACCATTTATTAACGGTTCAGGACTTGTCAGGGAGCTGATGACATCACTCGATTGCTCCTCAAATGATGTCATCATCCTGCAATTGCCCTTCAAGAAAAAGTGAAAATCGCCCAGGTGCTGGTCTTTTTTTCCACTTGAGCTTCAACCTGACACTGGTTAGGCCGGGGCTCATTAAGAAACCGAAATGATGGCGTCACCAGCTGGGTAAACTTCGACTACTGATTGGCCGTTGGGGCTGTTGAAACCTAATATGAGGCATGATCCTGTGGGCGCCAAGGGAGGAAGCGGTGCCTGGTAGGCCAGACATCGGTCGTCGCCCTCGCTCGAGCATCCTTTCCATCAGCTGCCAGTATCAAGAAGGTGAAAGTATAATTGTACATTCTCTATCGAAACAGTGGACTGACTATCATGCAGAAAAAAAAAGACAAAGGGGAAATGAATGGCTTGGTCACTACGGTCATCAAGAGCGAGAGCAGCAGGTCAACACTTCAAGCTTGTGACCCCATACTAGCCAACTCCAAGCTGAAATTAGGATGGTATCTACGATTGAGTTCCTGGCATTTACTTCCTGAAAAATGCTCTCGTGGCTTTGATGTTGTGGTTGTTGTTGTTGACTGATTCAAAGCTCAGCGGTTCAGGTACTCCAAACAACACGCGATCGACCCACTCTCGACAAGGCCACCATCCAACTGCTCGAGAAAAAAGAAAAAAAGTCTCGTCAAAGGTCGGCCACAGACGCGAGCGGGGCGTGGTTGACGGTTTATGATATATCGCATAGGTTGCGGAAATGACCAACTTACTCCACATGATCAAATTATCTGACTCCAAGTATTTTGTTTTTTCCGCTTGCACAAGCTTCTTTTTTTCTTCGGTAATTTGTGAGAATAAATACAACGATCTAAAAGGACTATTAAGGAGAAGAAAAGGGAAAAAAAGCGGGGGGGGGGGAATCTATGTTGAAAGATCGTGAGGAATCTAACGTGGCGATTCGGATGACTATGTGATATAATTCCCTGAAGTGAAACGAACCCGAAACCAACGAGTTCGTAAAAGGAAAGAGGAGGAATGATTTCTCAAAGTAGATAGTGGTCGTATTCCTTGATCATCCAGCCCAAAGAAACCGCTACCAGATCATGAAAAAACAAGGATGAGAAATCGGTCAGACTTCTGGGGTCTGATGATCAAAGAAGTTGCATATGGAGTAAATGAAAGAGGGGGAATACTGACAGGCTACGATGAATGGCGGCACTACGCCCCATCCGGTGGTCCTGTAAACGACGGCTTCGGCCACCAAATGTGAGAGCGCAATCGCAAAGGTTCCTAGTGCCAAATGGTACAAGCTTTATCACACCATTCGATTGGTTCCATCGGTTTGTTGATTTTTAGTATAAACAAAAGGATGTGTGGATTATTAATTTTCAGATTTGATAGTCGTTTGAAAAGCTGAGAGGAGTGAAAGTGATCAGCTTCTTTACTGACTGACCCAGGATTAGAGATGTTGTACGGCCGCATAGAGCCGGACCAGACCGGCGGTGATAGTCCAGGTGCCGAAGTTACGACTTTGTAGACCGGTCACTAGAAAAACATTTTTTTTTGAAGATGATCAGATGTCCCCCCCCCCAAGATTACAGTCATAATGAGCATTACAACACACCTCGATCGGGTCGTCGGTCGTATACCTTTCGGGCCCCTGCTAGTGAGATATAATTTTGTAGTCCGTTGAGGATCGAGACTCCTGCGATCAACATCATCCACTGTGTGTTTGAGTTTTTTTATATTTTTTTTGAGCGGATAGAGATACATATCAGAAATTCCTGCCCGGATCGTTTTTCTGAGACGTAAACCAACGTGCAACATCGTGTTTTGGGGTCGGAAAGGATTGACTCACTTTTGGCAACCATCCCGGATGAGGAGGAAGGCCAGCTAGGGATGGTTTTTTTTTTTTTCGAAAGACAAACAAACAGTTAGCTTTATTGATCTTGTTCACGTTTTTCTTCTTGGCAAACCGACCTAGGATGGGTATCACTATATCGCGTGCCATGCTGATATATTGTAGTTTGGAACGTGAGCTGACGACCGAGGTTGGTTCAGTACACAGGCGGACAAGAAATTACAAGGGCGACGAACTAGGACGGGCCGCCGAGACTTGCCTGCAAGTTCCACCCAGGGGCATCCGAGACTTGAATTTCAAAGGGGCTTGGACATCCTCTGCTTGATCCTGGGCACATATCTTCTATGTCCAACACCTACTCTAGCATGATTGATCTATGGCACACGTCTTGTCCATGTGCCACTTCAGGAATGTCCACTCGATCACCCCCTCCTTGAGCTGGAAGTACTGCCCGAGAGAAAGCTGAGGATTGGTTGGAGAAGGGTGAGTTTGTTCAATCAGAATTAAACGACTTGTAAGATAAGCTTGGAGGGAAGCTCATGTCCAACATATTTATCATCCTACAATGTAAATATGTCGAAGATCTGTTTATTTATCAGCTTGTCCCAAGAAAACAAGGCTTCATGAACGGACACCCACCGGCTTAAACACTCCGAAGATGTCACATGGCTGAAGTCACCTCCGATGACCGATCAAATTAAGGGATGTCACTGAGGATGTCACCAGATTTCATGCATGTCCCCCTCCTGAATTTCAAAACTTTAAATTTATCCAACTGGCCACCACCAATCCACCGAGGGGTGGCGCTTGGCAGTCTTTGACGGGATCCATATCAAAACAGAACACTCTGCAAGAACCAAAAGCTGCTAATATCAATCCCCAAGAAAAATTCCAAACCAAAAAAAAAAAAAACTTAGAAAGGACCCGTCCAAGCTAACGGAGAAGTAGGATTCGATGGCGGAGACTGCTGCAGACAGACGATCGAGTTCGAATCTCGAGCCGGCTTCAGACGAGATCCTATCGGCGATCCAGTCCGCATTACAGTCAGTTCTTTTGAGTCCATCCACCTTTCCCGCTCGATCATCTTCTGGGCTTAATTTCTCGCATCTTTGGAGAGGTGGTCTTGGATCTATATAATGTAGCCGGATGCAATCAGGATCGGAAGATTGACTTGTCTGCAGCGGACAAAAAAAGTACTCTCAAACTGACTACAAAAATGAATATTTATCTATCATGTTTAGGAAAGTGATCATCGATGGTACTCGTTATGCTAGCGATCTCAAAGGCACCGAGAAGCTGATCGAAAAAAACGCCGAAAACTTAAAGAAGGAGCCCAACAATCAAGCTTTCCTGAAGGAGAAACAGACTAAATTGGCCTTGAAGCAAGAATGTTTGGAACACATCAAGACCATTTCAACTCACGTCGCCCAACAGCTCTATCAGATCTATCAAAAACAACAACAACAATCACACTCTGCTGAGAATTTGATGACCACTGATTCAAATCAACAACAGCAACAACAATCCTCGTCCTCCTCCTCTGCTCAGACGTCTGATGATGATCCCTGTCGAAAGGAGTTGGAGACCTTGACTGCCCACTCGAAGATCCTAGAAAAGCAGATCAAAACGAATGAGGAAGAGGTGGCACGGATGCGCAGCGAACATCAACAGATGATCGAGACCCTTCAACAACAACGTGCGGCCCAAGAAGAGGAGCTGCGAACGATCAAAGAGCTCCTCCAGTCCTCAACCTCGGTCCCCCCATCTCGGCCGATCCCAGAAGACGCGATGGTCCTCGACAGTCAACCTAATCCAAAGCCCGAGGAAAACCCTGACGATCTCCAGAAGCAGAAGCAGCAGCCGGAAGGCGCAACAGATCAAGTAATTCTTGCCACAACCGTTCTCACCGGACATCGAGATGCTCTGGATCAGATGGCCATTCAGATCACCAATCTACGGGCCGATGTAGTGAGTTATCTGACGGAAGAGATCCCAGGGAACGTCCAACGCTCGGTCCGGGTCATGCAACAGGACGTCCAATCCACCCTACAAGCCACCACCTCCCTCCACATCAAAAACCTCAGCGACCTTGTCCAGGACTTGGTTGCCGACTTCGAGGCCCGAGCTCGTCGCCCTCGAAGCTTCGCCAAACGCCTCTCCTCGGCCCTCGACCCGCATTCCGCCAATAACGATCAGCCTCCTCAAAGCCGCAAACTCTCCCCCGCCTCGACTTCCTCTGATACTACCACCCTCTCCAGTTCACGCTCTAGTCGAGATCCTCGCCTGCTTCATCGCCAGTCTGCCGCCCCTTCCTCCGATTCTAAATCCCCAATCGACAACAATCCTTCATGTAGACAACAATAAATTCCATGAAACTCGCTTGCTCAGACAACTCCAAGATTCAATCTCGCTTCCTCTTTCTGTCCCTAATAATTCACTTTTCTTTCTCCCAATCAACTTCTCTCAAATGAGTCTCTTTTTGAAGCGATTCCCCAAACAAAATGTGAACTGAGTTTTTTCTCACATGACAAGATATTGATACCATCACTATCTTGTTTATTATCGTTGGACCGGGCGTTTTTTCTATTCTTCACCATCCTTAATAATCTTTGGAGCAATCCTCAAAATTCTCTTTCATTTATATATCTTAGGTTTTGAAACGGAACCATTTAGATTAAATCACTCTTAGATCCGTGTTTTTGATACTTTTGTTTTTCTTCTTATGGTGCCCCTTTTCAATTGAGTCTTCTTCTCTTCTGTGTGTATTGCTCAGGGTCTGAAAACCAACCCTAGTTGTGTCATCTGTCCATGTGTTGTTGTTTTACTCTTCCTTTTGCACTTATATAGAGCTCATTGACATGAAACCCTGTTCACAAATATCACGTCGCACGGTTTTTGGCGATGCCTCTGCCACGGGAATGTTGTTTATCAGGCAGGAATTGGAATGCTCTCAATTTTTCACAGGCCATATGTCCATCTCATCCAAGTACCAACGCGCCCAATAAGAGAATCCAATCGTTGGTTCCGTTTGGTGAATATTAAGGCCATGATCAATCAGGGAGGATTTCTTAGGAGGATGAAGAATGCTGAGTAAGGAATGTTTTCAAGACTTTTCTACATGGTTCAGATGCCACTCGTAAGCCAGGTTGGAGGGGCACCCAGTCCTGACTATAACACGTCACCAACGCCTCATCGATCACTTTCTCAATCTCTTGTCTCGTGCTTGATTTCGGTAACCGTTGAATACACTATAATGTCAAAATAAAAGAAACATAACAAAATCGATCGGTGATTCTATTTGTATGATGGAATGAAAGAACTTTCTTGAATCATGAAAGTCGAGAAAAAAAAAAAAACAAGACAATTCATACTGACGACTTTCAAGCCAAGTGCGGCTCTTCGACACGGTCCACCCTTAGACTCGCTAGATATCCCGATCACTTAATTCGATCACTCGAAGATAAGTCTTGTATGATCTGTATAAAGGATACGACCGAGCTCAGCAGTCGATCGATAAGAAATCCATCTGACGCCATGCTTTATACTGACAGTTCATATTCACCCGCCGTATAAGCAGTCTCGGCATATCGCAAGATATGGAAGGTATTTTCGGGTTGGATTAAGATCAAGTCCTCTAAGGCTGACAGACTTTGCTCGTATCTGAAACCGCCCCCCCATAAAAAAAAAAACGATGTGAATAAGCTTGAATGAGAAAGGGAGGGGTGTAAGGTGAGGAGAGACTCAACAGTCCTAGACTAGCGTAAATGTCCGCAAGTTGGAGCCAGCCCTCAGGATCAGAATAGACGGTATCAAGGTGATCGACCAGGAGTTGAATCGCTGTGTGGAGTGAAAATGGAGTGGACGATGTTGATGATGATGAGGAGGAGGGTTGGGATGCTTGGGGACAAGTGGGAGGTGAATGGTGTAGGTGGAGTGCAATCAATCGTTTCCGGACACGCTACAAGGAATTCCGTTTTTTTTTTTCAATTTTCGTATGTTAAAGATGTTTCTGGCTGCTTTCAAGATCCTAATGAGTCGCATCAAAACTGACCATGTTGAGCTCTCCGACACTGCCTAAATCAGCATTCTTCGGACTAAACGATTTCTCTAACTCTTGCTCATAAAAGCTCTTAGCACCCAGTAGATCGCCTTGAGCTTCCATCAACATCCCATGCAATACTGTCACTCGAGCTGATTTGGGAAATTTAGCTTCTAAGCGTTGGATGAGCGTCTGATGTATATATAAAGTAAACAAATGAAGAAGCCAATCAACTGTCAACTCTTGATGACCATCGATAATATTCAACAAAAAAAATTTCTTCGGTGTTGGATTTGACCTTAGCAAGCTCGACGTTTCCGACGTCCAATGCAGCCACTGCGACCTGTTCATAAACCGTCCAGACTACCGTGCAGAAGAAGCAAACAAAGAGAAAAAAAAAAGACAGCCGATCAGACGTAAGATTCCTTGCACACAGAATCGGGGAATTGGTAGAGGGAGTGACCAGGATAGTGGCGACTTACGATCATCACCCAACCGACTGGTTCGTCCAGCAGTCCCCAAGATAACTTCGGCCAATTCGACCACCTCCTGGCTCTGTCGAAGGCCCGAATCCCTCAAGACTTTCAGTCGGTCGATCGCCTGGTTCAACGAAACCGCTTCCTTCATCCTCGATCGCGGTGATATATGGACCGGTTCTGCGTGAATCGCTTCTAAGTTCTTGGATGATGATAGATAGAAGGGGAACTTGTTGCCCCGGAATCAAAGGTGACGCTTGTCCTGCCTGGCAGCCGGGTATGTAGCGGGTACCTCCGTGTGGTACGACAGCCACATGCTACAATAGATGGCATTGGTGGTTCTCCTATCAACCCAGTTTCGAGACATCTTGCAGCCCTCTCGTATTTACAAAATCTTTTCTGGAGACTGAAAAACGGCAAGTGTATGTAAAATACACGGGCAGGCTTGGGTAGGTCCGACAATCACGTTGAAAATGCGTAACTTCAGAGCAAGGAAGCCATGGCGAAATAAGGAACAAAAAAAACGAAGTATGAAAAGGACGGATTTTGTTCAAACCGAACATTTTTGGCCAAAGCAAGCCAGCAGGCGGCCTGCTAATGCTCGGTTTTCCTCTCAGTTTTGAGGATGATAAATCACAGAGTCGATTTCAAAACAAGAAAATATAACTGATAGATTGACAAGACACTGGGGTTACATTTCTGGGATATAAACAGCACTCGATACATCCGATACAACCAGGACAGAGACAGAAGAAAAGAGGAAAAAGAAATCCTGCTGAGTAGCACTAGTGGTGAGGAAAGAAATCAAGCCTTGGTGATGAGCATGACTACTTGCTTCTCGTCGATGTTCTTCTCGGGCTTGTTGTTAGCAACCTCCTTGTTTTGCTGGTAGGAGAAAAAAAAACAGATAAATAGTTAGTCTTTGATCTATCTTCTTTTCATGAGAAACAAAATGCAATCGATATTGAAAGGCTACACTGACTGCGTTGGAGCATCCGCTTAAGATGCTATGAACAGCTGTCTCGAGGTCCTTCAAGGAACTAGATAGAGAGGAAGAAGATGATATCAATATTTTCGGAATGGTTGGTCATGAGTTTGATAAAGAGAGCGATTCCTTACATGTGTCCCGGGGCAACTTTCTCCTTAGCGTTGGCAAGCGCGACCTGAATATAAACAAATATAGACCGGTCTCCTTAGTACGCGATGAATGGAATAAGAGGGCATGATTTGCTTGTGCATACCTTGCAGCCCCCGTGACTCGCTGTCGAGACCTTCTTCTCGGACAATTGCTGGGCAGCCCTAGAGAAATAGTAGAATGGCCGGCAGTTAGTGGGCCAATCGAATGTGAGATGTTGGGGATGATTAACATACGCAACGCATTCCTTGACGGAGAAAGTTTGAGGAGCGGCGCCATGGGTGGTACAAGTAAATGAGTCGGCAGCGTCTCGACGGACAAGCTGCTCAGCATCAAGACTGATCGCACGTCTGCTGACAGATTTTTCAGCGTCGGTGGCCTTGGCAAAGTAGCCATTGATGAGATTGTAGTTGTAGGGAAAAGTCCCGAGTCCGTAGCAGTACGAATTGAGCAGGGAGTAGTAGTTGCTGTAGAGTGAGGGGTAGGTTGAATATAGCGACATTCCGCTTAGTCCCCAATACCCGGCAGAACGGAATCTCCCATAGTACCATTTGTCGTCGACTTGTTCGGGTTTGGCTTGAGCCACTTCATCTGCGCGGGACATGGCGACAAGCACAGACAGAAGAGTGATCAGGTGGGCGAAGGCGACCATTTTGCTGCTTTGGTGAGTTTGGCGAGTTTGAGAGTGGTGTTGGTGATGTTCGGCGCTGGGTGCAAGTGCAAGGTTCGATATCTTGGTGGGTTGGATGGCTGGGTGAAGATGGAACGGAGTCAATCAGCGCCCTTTTTATCTTTAACCAACTATGGCTCAACCCGCCCAGAGTCTTGCAAGTACTCCAAGGCTTCTCTCTACCAGCAGCTCTTTGGCTTATCCCAGACCGAGATTCCCACCGCCGGAGCGGCTAGACCGAGATGAACACCGGAGCGGCCATATTGCGCACTAGACAACAATAGAACTAATGTTGATTAGATCAGCAATGGATCGGTTGAAGGGAGATGGACAACCGGTGCGTGGTTCAGTACTAGTTCAATCGGTTGAAGCCAGTAAAGACCGATCAGAAGTGACTCCCAAGCCGATGGCGTTTGTATTTCGGTTCACGTTGGATGGGAAGAGGCTATGCCGGTTGATCAGCAACCGATGCGGACAACGGCGCGCACCCATCCGGACGGGCTTCAAGTCTCAAGTCACAACGGCTTGGGTCAGCTCCAGGCTTGGTCGCAACGATCACGGGAGGCTTTCCCATGCCGGTTGGTCCGTAGATGCTGCGGCCGGACAGCCGACATTAGCACAAATGTTCAATGCCTGGTCCGTTGGGCAAGCAGTCTGCCTTTGGGCTGCACTCTTGTGCCTACCCAACGGGCATAGGTTGGGCTCCAGTACTCCAACATTAACTTGCCTTCGGAGCCAATCAGCATATGTCGAACTCAGCCGGCCAAGGATTCATCACCAGCCGGTTGTCCGGCAGCAACATCAACTGAAGTGTCACTGACGAACCGTCAGGCGCAGTTCGATTGTTACCAGATCCGCCCGGACATGCTAGGAACGCATCCCGTGATCGTTGCGACCAAGCCTAGAGCTGAGTCCTGACCCAAGCCGCCGTGACTTGAGACTTGAAGCCCGTCCGGATGGGTGCGCGCCGTTGTCCGCATCGGTTGCTGATCAACCGGCATAGCCTCTTCCCATCCAACGTGAACCGAAATACAAACGCCATCGGCTTGGGAGTCACATTTGATCGGTCTTTACTGGCTTCAACCGATTGAACTAGTACTGAACCACGCACCGGTTGTCCATCTCCCTTCAACCGATCCGTTGTTGATCTAATCAACATTAGTTCCATTGTTGGCCTCACCGGTGTTCATCTCTGTCTAGGGCAAAGAGCTGCTGGTAGAAGCCTTGGAGTACTTGCAAGACTCTAGGCGGGTTGAGCCATAGTTGGTTAAAGATAAAAAGGGCGCTGATTGACTCCGTTCCATCTTCACCCAGCCATCCAACCCACCAAGATATCGAACCTTGCACTTGCACCCAGCGCCGAACATCACCAACACCACTCTCAAACTCGCCAAACTCACCAAAGCAGCAAAATGGTCGCCTTCGCCCACCTGATCACTCTTCTGTCTGTGCTTGTCGCCATGTCCCGCGCAGATGAAGTGGCTCAAGCCAAACCCGAACAAGTCGACGACAAATGGTACTATGGGAGATTCCGTTCTGCCGGGTATTGGGGACTAAGCGGAATGTCGCTATATTCAACCTACCCCTCACTCTACAGCAACTACTACTCCCTGCTCAATTCGTACTGCTACGGACTCGGGACTTTTCCCTACAACTACAATCTCATCAATGGCTACTTTGCCAAGGCCACCGACGCTGAAAAATCTGTCAGCAGACGTGCGATCAGTCTTGATGCTGAGCAGCTTGTCCGTCGAGACGCTGCCGACTCATTTACTTGTACCACCCATGGCGCCGCTCCTCAAACTTTCTCCGTCAAGGAATGCGTTGCGTATGTTAATCATCCCCAACATCTCACATTCGATTGGCCCACTAACTGCCGGCCATTCTACTATTTCTCTAGGGCTGCCCAGCAATTGTCCGAGAAGAAGGTCTCGACAGCGAGTCACGGGGGCTGCAAGGTATGCACAAGCAAATCATGCCCTCTTATTCCATTCATCGCGTACTAAGGAGACCGGTCTATATTTGTTTATATTCAGGTCGCGCTTGCCAACGCTAAGGAGAAAGTTGCCCCGGGACACATGTAAGGAATCGCTCTCTTTATCAAACTCATGACCAACCATTCCGAAAATATTGACATCATCATCTTCCTCTCTATCTAGTTCCTTGAAGGACCTCGAGACAGCTGTTCATAGCATCTTAAGCGGATGCTCCAACGCAGTAAGTGTAGCCTTTCAATATCGATTGCATTTTGTTTCTCATGAAAAGAACTTCAAGAAGATAGATCAAAGACTAACTATTTATCTTTTTTTTTCTCCCACCAGCAAAACAAGGAGGTTGCTAGCAACAAGCCCGAAAAGAACATCGACGAGAAGCAAGTAGTCATGCTCATCACCAAGGCTTGATTCCTTTCCTCACCACTAGCGCTACTCAGCAGGATTTCTTTTTCCTCTCTTCTTCTGTCTCTGTCCTGGTTGTATCGGATGTATCGAGTGCTGTTTATATCCCAGAAATGTAACTCCAGTGTCTTGTCAATCTATCATTTATATTTTCTTGTTTTGAAATCGACTCTGTGATTTATCATCCTCAAAACTGAGAGGAAAACCGAGAAAGCGGGCTGCAGGCTTGCTTGGCAAATTTTATTGGGAAACTAACTTCAACACTTTCTCGACAAGATTGACTAGCGCAGTTCAGGTGATTCTAGCAAGAAAGAAGGCTGGAACCAGCACCCCTCCCCGCGTTGCACAGGTCAAGTTCCATGACCACGGCCTGCTTGTAGCGCGCAACTCAAGGTGGGATTTTCTTTTTCTGCTTCATTTCAACCCAAGATAGATTTCAGGGCGGGCATTTTTTTCAGATTATAGTAGAGAGAAACATGAACACTAGAAAGACCATGGAGTATGCAAAGCTGGTGTTCTGATATTAACTGGAGTATTTATTGAGAACTGGAAATATATAGACAGTGGTTCGGAGATGTTTCTGAAGATGGAGAGGAGTGGTGTAAATAATATTGTATATTGAAATTCTTGTAGTTCTGGGGAGCATAGAGATGAGGAGGGTACAACTTACAGAGATCATCAAGTACACAGCTTTTTATTAGCATATCAATATCATTACAATAAGGAAAATAGGTTTGATTATATAGAAGATAACCATTGTAGATGGTAGAAAATTTAATGTTGCTTGTCAGAGGTACATTTTATTGACTTGCAGACTGGCAGTGGAAGGGATCACCCCTGGTGAGCTGGTGTTAAACACAGCTCATTAGTAGGAATTTGTATTGGCAAGCAGCTGGCTTTAAACCAGCTCACCAGCATTAATTCTTCTCAGAAATCTGACATAAGCCTAAAGAGCCTTTGAATTGAATTGCTTAAAGAGGAAAAACAGAGCCTTGGTTAATTGACTCCCATATCTGGAAGTTGTTGAGAGGACCGCTTGGGGACTGTCTCAGGATGTCCCCAGCCCCAATTTTGTGCCCCCAAAGCTTGGAAGTTGTTCCTCCCATTCCTGCAGTGGGAATGGGAATCAGCTCCCCAAGTAGAATCAGCTCCCCAAGCAGTGTGCTTCCTAAAAAGATTGGACACCATTCACTTTATTATTCATTGCATTTCATGGATTTAGCTTGTTTATTTTATTAATTTCAAATCCATTTCTGCCTCAGTTATCCCATGGATTTTCAGCCTCTTTCCAGCTCATGTGATAGGCCAGTTCCTGTCTGGTCACTCCATTGAGGAAGAGGGGGGTACATCACAGCCTTGTAGAAGGGATGATAGGGTTGACAAAGCACTACAGTTCTGAATATGAACTGGTCCTTTTGCTAACTCTATTCCAAGAGCATATAGTGAAGCGGGCTGTATCCAGAGGTGGCTTTGATCCTGGATGTTATCTGACAGGTGTCCAGATAAAACCCAACGGACAGAATAAAAACATGAGATTTCTTGAATTGAAGTCAAATCTTAATCCCTGCTCAATCTCTCTGTCCAAGTTACCCAGGTCTTGACAAGCAACCAAGTCACACAGCACCTGGGCTGAGGGCTTCTGTCTATGATCAGGCCACACAATCCAGGTGTTCTTAGAAATTGAGACAAACAGCACAGTGTCAGTAGGCTATCTAGTGGAAACTTTGGACAAACACAGTTTATGTTTGGGGAGTGACAGCAAAGTAGGCTATATGGTAACACCAGAGCACTTCCCATTGGTTTTGTAGCATCTGGGATCTCAGATTTCCATGCAAGATCTGACTACAGTGGGGCTAAATGTGAGTGTGTACACTGCAAAATTGTGCAACTCTTAGCAGTTGACATGCAATTTTACAAAGGCAACTTTGTAGTATCACATTTTGACTGCTAATAGTTGCACAACTTTTCCTTGCAGTGGTAGGGTCTACAGAAATCAAAGGGGGAAGTCCTTCACTTTTGGACAAACAAAAACACACCAGGGTCTTATAAAAACACCACAACACAAGTTTAGACTTCATTAATTCAATTGTGCTACACCCCCCTTCAGTACATGAGTTTTGAATGTGAATAATAATATAGAAAAAACATAAGTTGCTGAACTGTGATTTTTAGACAGGATATTTTTTGAAGAATTACTGCACACTGTTATCAGCAATTATATGCTTAAGCTACTGTAAAGATGGGGAAAACCACTACAATGTACTCAAAGGTTAATTTTATATTACAATCAACACTGAAACAGATATGGTATCTGCCATGTATCTGCCATGTAGCACTATGTTGTATCTGAGCCCCAATAAAAAAATTATCTGACCAATGTGCTTTTATCTGCAAAGAGGTATAACAAATTTGGTTTTTGGCTGTGCAGGTTTGCCAAATTCTCCATGATACACACAGTGCATTGTATCCATTTCAGTGTTGTTACAATAGGGGGTTTCAAAATAGCCCCAGGACCTCGCGCAGGTTCCAAAACCCAGGAAAAAATTTCCTCCTGGAAGGACTCCTGTCGGCCTGGGCTCCTGCCTAGGAAGAGGCTCCAGGAGGGTCGTCCCAGGAGCAGGAAACCACAGGAATCGTGTCCAAAACCCTCCCCGAAACTAGGATTTGATTGGTACACCCAGCAATCATCTAACCCCAACAAGCCCCCCACCCACCCACATGCCCGGCCGAGAGTTGACTATCATCACGTACACCTCGCCAACTAACACGAAGGGACATCTCCAGGATGATTTCATCACACATAACCATTTTCAAGTTCGTGGTCCGCCATCGTTCGTAGTTGTTGTTGGTTGCTAGCCAATTGAGGAGGATAGCGATACTGCTGGGGCCACCGTCGACCCCATCAGTGTCCCAAGAGGGCGTAAAAACACGCATTAAGATCAACAACGGGTTGTTTTTGTTGAATCGGTAATGAGATAGGAATTAGCTGGAGTGATCGCAAGAACACCGGCGGACCACGGCACAAGCAAAGCCCGATGGGCCACTAGGAAGACTTGTGGTTAGACATACTTTGGTGAGGTCCAATATCATTATGTTTGAGGCATTTGGGACCCTTTCTGGCAAGAGATGAAACTTGCACCGAGTATTAGACATTCTCCTGGACTTGGACTTCTGGGGAAAAGTCTGGAGTTATCATCAGTCGGGGCTTCAAAGTAGAACCCACAGGAGTTCCTTTTTGGCAGGGGTGTTTTTTTCCTGGGATTTGGACCTGCGCGAGGTCCTGGGGCTATTTTGAAACCCCCTAATGTATGTATTTTTTGGCTTTGAAAACTTCTGTATTTGAAGTTCCTATTCCTTTGTGAATTTTGTGGTTTATTCCTAGAGGAGCAGAAAGGAAATTAAAAAAAAAAAAAAAACGAGAAAAAGTTCTTTCTCATTTTGAGAAAAGGATGAGAAAAAGGGAACAAAAATTGAAAAAGATTAGAGTCAAAGGGTAGAAGAACATGAAAGACATTCAAAGAGTGGATAAGAGATATGTAGTAGATATATTTTTTACAATGAGGAGATTGATGATGAGTGAGTTTGATTTACTGACTGTGAGATTGACTGGAGAGGAGAAAATATGTTGAGCTCTGCCATAGATCTCACAGAAAAATCAGATTCAAAACTCAACACTTCCCTCACACCCCTCACTTGGAAAGACTTGCCTATTAGTATGTAGCACAATGAGAAAATTCAACTGTTCAATAGCCTAGATTGGAAGAAGGTACTACCACGAGAAGGTCTTTCTCCACTTGAAATTTTCTTAATGAAATAATGGTACTACATACTTCTTGAATATACGTTAACAAACTGACCTTGAATCCCACATCCACCCTTTCCTTACAGAGAATGCAGTTGAAGAAATGGACTGCAAAGATAAGTTGTATAAAGCAATGCAATGATTATCTTCCTGGAGACAACACAACAAGCAAGCAGGACAAGGTGAAGGAAACAACAGGGACATATCTAGACCAGATGTTTCTTTAAGGTACCAAACAAACTAAAGCTGGCAAGACCACTGTACTCATTCAAAATTTGGTGGGAGGATTGACAAGCAGATGATTCATGTTGCAGAAACCAAACATTGGACGACTTCCCGTCAACATCTGCGGGTCTCCCCGAGTCGGTTTAGAGCCTCAAAATTCAAATTCCTCTGCGAAAATCAAGAATTTTTGGGTCCAGATTGACTTCTGCGAGGGTCCCAGATCCAACGGGAAGTCCTCCATTTATGAATATATACATATTTCCAATTTTAAAATTATAGGGAGCTTCAAAAATCAGAATGAAATATTGATAGTTTCCCTGTTGTCGTTGACTCCAGAATTCAGAAGATATAGGACTGTCTGCAAGTGGACTAAACCTATTGAGGCCTGCAACCACTATCAAATGCTTCTTGCAACGGAGGAGCCGGTGAAAGCTAGAGACAATAAACCATGAATGCAAGCTCAGGAGTCAGAAGCTTTTCATTTCAAGCAAAGATTAATGGGAATCGAACTGACAAAAAATACTCTGGCAGGACAACACCATTTAGCTTCTGGCCTTGCGCTACATGGGTGCCCAACTGTCACCCGGTCTTGCAATTCCCATTGAGAGCAAAAAAAACAGGTCAGTTTTACTCTTAAAGACGGCTACGGTCATGGCTCTTCAGTCGAAAAACTACACTCACAAATATACGGTTCAGGTCCTCGAACCGCACACGAATCTACAACTGGCGGGTTACATTTACCATCGGTCATCGTAACTTGAAAAACTAATACCAGGATAGCGAATGAGGGTATGAAAACGTTCATAATGAAAGTAATCCTAGGGGAACAGTAAAATCGGGGAGCGGGTTTTTCTTCTAAAGTTCACTTTTGTTTGTTCGAGATGGAAATCGATGGTTGGATGTGAAGGAAAAGCAGAAGGCAATGAAGATTGTGGTCCTATGGAAATATGGTGTTGCAAGCCCGTCTGGGCACAAACCAAAGCCCCGCTTGGCCGAGTGCCACCGGGGGTTGGGATTGTGCCCAGAGGGCTTGATCATGCGGGTTGTGCGGGGGGCGGGACTTGGCCCATAGCCAAGTCCCGCTGGGCCGATATCAAGCTGTTGGCACACAGGATTATTGACTCATCACTGACAGACTCAGCTTGGACAACACGACCCCACTGCCACCTCTAATAAGGTTCTCTTTTCCTAGGACGAGTTCAGTAAGAATCACCGTTACTCGGTGAAAGCCCACACAGCTCCATTGTTGGTACCCCAGGTTGTCGAGTTCTACTTCGAAATCTGTTGATCGACTACATAATCCGGTCAGTTATTCTTATTATTCTCAGTCCCTGAGCAGAGAAGGAAAAGAAGGGAGAAAGACTTCGGTCTAGATGGTGTGGAAGGTCGATGCACCCCTTGAGTCGTGGGGTGCATCGACTTCTTGGGGGCGTGGCACCCTCGCTTGATATCGGCCAAGCGAGGCTTTGCTCCGACCCCCGCCAGCTTTGGCATGTGCCAAGCGGGGGCTGGGAGGGTGCCACGTGGGCTTTAGGATCGGCCAAGCGGGCTTTGGGATCGGCCCAGCGCGCTTGGCCTGTTTTTGGCTGAACTTTGGTGTGTGCCCAGACGGGCTTGCAACACCATACAAACCCACCGGAAAAACATTTGTTCTCCGTGAACGATTCAACATGTCTTGTAGACGCCTAGCAATAAAATACCCGGTCGGTCGGAAAAAATGTTATTTGGTCCGATGCTGCATGAGAAGTGGCCCTTTAGCCTCTTCAAGCCATTCAACAGAGTAACGTGAGGAGTGCACATGGGTGAATGACCAGGAATATCGACTGGCACCGTACACATGGAAAAACCAATTTTTCCGGGTCTTCGCCGGCGCCTACATAGCCCGTTCAGTTGAACACATGTGTTCAAGATGAACTTAAACATACACAATCACTTTTTTCTTCATCAAGGTCAATAGAGGATATCATGCAAAATCACTCACAGTGTTATCGCTCGATTGTTGTGAAACAAACCGTCTATTTCCAGGTTGCTGGGGTCAAACAGTTAACTTGCAAGAATTTTACTTAGTGAATATGTACACACTGAAAGCATGTCTAGCAGATCTGGTTTCTCAGACCATCAAATGGCCAGGCTTCGGATTGATAATGATAGCAACTCCTGCCAGTTTTCATTTACAATTGGATATGTTCAACTTATCTGATTCACAGATATATTCTTGGCTTATGAAGAGACTTCTAAATGGGACAGTTGTTCAATGGTACTCTTCATTTTGATTTGGTGATAACAAAAATATGAGCATGATTTGTTCCAAACGACGAAAACAAAAAAAAAACTCAATTGTCTCTTGGTAAAAATTGG